TATTGTCTACGTAATGTATGATATTCTATACGTCAAATATGCATACTTTGAAGACGTGTCGGCTTATTTCAACTCTCTCGATATACAGCTATATCGATGAACTATACACTGGGAGTAAAACTAACATGATCATGCAGACAATATTTGCCATCAACGAAAATCAGAGACGTCTGTTAACGTTACCCCTACAATACCAAATGCTCCTTCCAGAGACTTGCTCTCGCATCATCATTGCCCTTGCTTCCGATAGCCTCACGCTATCTCCTTCGCCTCTCTGCCACAGAGGTTCTCCGGATCCATAGATGATGTAACACTTACTTCGTGTGCCATGAAATCGATAAATCATGCTTACGACTGATGCGCTGTTCCAGCGTACAGCGAACAATCCGCAGGGGTTCGCAAGATATATGTGTGGGGTGATCTGATGGGAGGCATGCAGTGCATTGCTGGTGTTGTGTCCTCCTGGGAAGCGCGCGCGTGTATATCGATCACTATCGATCAGTGTCGATGTGTCGATGTCAAAGAGAAATGTATCTTGAGAAATTAGAATACCTTTGAGAGCGTCAAAAGCCGCGGAGCTGTCATTGTGGAAATCACCATTCCACCAAGTCCCAGGAGATGAGTTAGGGGTAAACATGAAAGATACTATTTCAATAATCATACAGAAAGTGGCATAGGTATAAATTACAATAGGAGAAATATAAAGCACACACGAGAAGTGTCCCAGAAGATAAAAAGAAAGAAGGATCCAGCACCAGCGCAAAGCTATATCTGTTTAACACTATGATCGCGTCAGGTCCCCCTTCCCTATCTACCCCTTCAATTTCTAGTGAATGCCCGCTTCCCTTCGAATATTCTTCATCATCTCCTGTGCCTCCATCGTCGCCTCGTCTAGCCCCGCATCTGTATCGATATCAGAAGACTCGTCCGCAATAGCCACAAGCACATTCGGATACTCCGAGAAAGAGCGCGAGTGACGAAGACGTTTTCTGCGTGCCAAAACTTGTGCTTGTTGCTGGGCAAGAACACGCGGAGGAGGCGTGATCGTAAGGCGTTTTTCAGAGCCGCTGGAGCGCTGGGTATATATGGATGCTGAAGAGGACTTGAGCTTGAGCGACGCGGATTTGGACGGCTTGAGAGCCCGTGGTGAGGAGATGGAGGTAAGAGGTATATCTTTCTCCTTCTCGTCATTGGGATCGCCATGGAGGATGTGGGAGACGGTACGCCGGATAGCCTGCCAGCTGGGTCGTTTGGACTTTCCGGTGGTTAAAGGTGGATTATTCTCTATGTGTTTGAGTCCAGAAGTTGTGGCGATCTCAATGCCCATTTCATCCGGTCTGAATTGAACTTTGCTTTGAGGCGTCTTAGACTTTTTCTCTATAAAAGTGGTAGTGGTTGCGGGAGTCGAGACATCGGAGGAATGGTCTGGACTATTCGAGGCAACGTGCGAGATAGTCAGACAATTACTAGCGATGGTGGGGCATTCGCTCGGCGCAAAGGAGACTGGACGGGATCGGGTAAACACACCTCTAAGAGAGGAGGTGGGGGAAGGAGGCGTTGGAGATTTTTCATCAATAAAACGAGGGCTGTAGACAAAGACAGCGGTGCGATCCATCGGTGTAGCCAGGGAGGTGGTTGACTGGTCAAAAATTGTTGGAGGACAATTGTTGAAAATGCGGCGGAGGAGGTTACAATTAAAAGCAGGAAGGCGAAGGCAATGTCCTTTGGATTTATACAGTGTATCAAGAAGACCTTGAACCATTCTCCATAGAAAGGGCCATTGTTACAATATGTTGAATGAAGTGGCCAATTTGGAGCTATGAACAGCGAATGGCCATGTCGAGAAATTAAGCGGCATTGTTCAACAGGGACGGTTGTGTACAATCAGATTTCGAGTCAGATTGGGTCAAGAACTTGGATATAATGAAAGGTCACGAGAGGAGGAGCAGGGGCTGGTGCAGTGAGAAGACTTGGTGTAGTTTAAAATCCTTCTCAGCAATGACAACAACTAGATAAATCATCAGGCCAGATTGGGTGGCTCGTCAATATCTTAAACCTATTGAATGCTCACAATATACAGTAACGATCCAACATGACTTTGATCCCTGTGAACAGTCCTGGCTACTGGACCCTCACCTTGTCCGACGGGATTCACCGGGGACAATTGGCATCAAAACGTGACTAACCGCGCAAGCGTGTGGGGCCAATGGCTAACCGTAACACTCCTCACTCAGAACGTGTTTAGAAAGACGGGACCATCGTGTGTTTTTTCTATAGATCGAAAGCAGCGAATGCATCGTGCCTTGACAGTGCCGAACGTAAAGACTGGGGGAAAAAACACTCAAGGGGCTACCATTAAAGAATGTAGGGCCATCTTATCTCGGAAGAGGCATGCCACAGAAAGCGATAAGTAATAGGCTGAGGAGCGTGCCGCAAGGCATATGAATTCGACCAAAATGATGAAAAAAAGACAGGATTCGAAGCCTCCAACCTTGTTCGGACCGGAAACCCATACCACAAGATCAGGCACCTCTTTGACTTTTTCTGAACTTTTTCACTCGCGACCTCATCTTCCTCTCGGTGCTCATTGCTCAGCTCACAGCTCTCGAGCTCGTTTTAGACCTCATCATAGCTCCTATTGGTCCCGTTTGTTGCTTGTTTGATGCGTCCAATGTGTTATCGCGTAGTATCAACCATCGAACATTATTCATCGTCCTATGAAGTTTTAAAGACTCAAAACATATCTGAATGCCTTCTACTTCAAATCCACAAACACACCCACGACGAGGACACTCTACCTCTACAAAAATGACGCTCGTTGGCTATTCGTTACTATGGTCCTACTCTTCTCCCTCCTCACCGAAAAAACGCACAATCCTCGGCGTGGTTGTACGTGGCTTCACAGCCACTTTTAGTGCTGATACAAAGGATGATTTCATTCAGTACAAGTGGGGTGATCCTCTCACATGTGGAAACACTCACCGTGCCGCATTCTAGCACAATGGCTGACGATCTCCAATGCTCGAACCTTGCGTTCCAATATATACTGATCAGAATATAAGCATAAGTCGCTTCGTGCGCACGAAAATAAAGCCAATAGAACAACGACGATTTCGACGTTATAATTTGATCTAGAATGAGAGGCAGGGAATATGAGGAATTGATCGTGCTGGAGCGCCTCTAGAACGACCATACCTGTGCCGATCCACCCGATAGCCCGTCCATCTGAAGCCCTCCAACTCTACCGAGACTACCAAAGGGAACTCTACATATAATAGACAATCAATACATGAAAAAAGATACGCACATTCATCTACACGCACGTCCTTGATGCCAACCAGAGTAGATCATTCCGATTACTGCAGATCCAGATTAGTCCCAGGCAGTATGTGTATGTGTATGACCACACCCGTAGACATTAGAGTTTGCCGTAATATTGTTTCCTTTGATGTCATTGACGTTGTTAGCCTTTGCGCCTGATGAGATATCAACTGGAGGTTAGAGAAGAGAAAAATCGGAAGAAATGACAGATACATACCCACACCATGGAGAAAAAAGTCAGTGATCACATCGTCAAGTTGATTTGATAGATTCAGTGCAAACGGCAAGATCAGGATTATTTGCGTCGAAGGTAAGACAGTCAAAGAGTGTGGTACGAGAAGTCAGGAAAGGCAGGGCCGTACCACACTGTGAAGAGTATCGAGCGTTGGACAAGTGAGGGAGACCGGTTTGTTCTCTTTCCTCCTTGTACTAGTCTCTCGGTCTCGCTCACGCAAGTTCTGCCACAGCAGATGTTGATATCTTGAAGCGCTCACCGAGCATAGACTGGACATCTAATCGTTCAATGAGGCAGAGGGAGAAGGCGGTATGGTAGGTCACGTATAACGGGAGGATGCATGTGATGTTTTTGGAGAATGGACTTAGGAAGAGGATGGTGGACGCATGTTGTAATGAGTTGTACGTTTCTTGTCCACCAGAAGTGGAAGTGTTGATGTGCACATCCAGAAAGGATAAGGGCGTCAACGATTGGGTAAGCATAGTGGAGAATAGTATAGCGTCGGCTTCGAATGGTGTCGTGGGGATCCTGCAAGGTGGGATGAGCATCCTATTCACAACTGAGAGTAGAGGCTTATCGACAAGAAAAAACGACCGAGGGTGGGATGAACGTTATTGACATCCGGGGCTCGGTTGATGAGGGAGAGTCAGGCTCCTGAGAAAACAGTCTCGCCCACGCGGTAGACGCGTCAAAGATGGCGTAGCAACGCCCGCAGCTGATGCTGACTCGGAAGCTTACACCATGGACGCAAATGCACTGCTGAATACGAACGAGAATACGCCTCCACCGACAATGTACCGCTGGATATCGACCTCGCGCCTCGCACCCTCTACGATTGATCGTTTTGGCCTGTCGTAGAAAATTCAATCATTTTGCGTCTCACAAAGAGAAAATTACGCCTTTTCGTCCTCTAACTCCTCTCCTCTTCTGCGCTATCTCCTCCTTCCTCAGCCTCGTCACCGCCTATCTGATCCTTCCCCTTCCCCTGTCCTATCCCTCTGCCCCTCACACTCTCAATCGACACCTGCGATGGATCCAGCCATGCTCGCAAGTCCAACCTGTCTCGACGTAAGCGGATGCTTCGTCTTTGTATACTCCTCCCCCTCTTCGGTGATCCGAATTCAGCTCGTCGCCCTCTCAGCCCAACTCCTCATCCTCTGATTCTATAATAGACGTGTCGGTCCGTGAAGCGACGGGCATGGACACTTTCCGCGTGATTTTGAGAGCGAGGAATGTAGAGGTAGAGGATACGCCTCGTTCAGGTTCGGATTCGAGCTCGTCGGCGTCGTCGGCATCGGGTCTAGCTGTAGCAGGGCGGAGGAACGAGTGAGAAGGCGCTGTCGAGCGGTGTCAAGAGAAAAAGCGAAGGGTGGGTCGGAATTGGGTTCTCGCGACGTCATCCATTGATCGAGGACCAATTACAATGAAAAGGACACACGCTGACTGCATTAAGGGGGAATCGAACCCCCGGCGGGTCGATGCAAGTTATCGGACGATATAATGGCAACGACCCAGGTTACCACTACCCCATTAATGCAATTGCTAATTCCTTTCTGTTTTCGATCGCATTGCCTCGCCCTTCCCCTCGTGTTCGATCAATACGTCAGTTTTAGCGGCGCACGTAGCAATCTGAGAGTAGTTCAATATTGAAAATGACGTCTTCATTGCAGAGGTATAAGGGAAACTCACAGAGTGCTTGGGTTGACGTCAGCAATCAGGACAAGTATGTCATTGTCAGCATGGAATGGGCGCTTTGTGGGTGGAGAGGTCACTCTGTCCACGAAGTCCTGACAACGAGGAAGGGACATGAAATACTTGGGAAATAATGAAACCGAGGTGCCCGCAACCAATGGCAGAGACTAATTCGGCCATGGGTCGTTCCTATGTGACAAGGTGAGAAATGTTTATCTGATGCATGAGAGTACTACCAACAAATGCGTGAGTGTCCGTGATGACGTTCGAATATTTGTCAAGATTCGCAGGCCTTCCCAGAAAATTCTGTGGTGACATTGAGGGAATACCGGGGATTGAACAAGGACGTGTCGCGTCTGTGGCGTGGAAATGATATCACATGACCGTACTTTTTCCATCGCGACCTATACATTCCAACTTGTCACCAAAGCCTCGTGTAAAGTGGTAATGGTGACCTGCTACTAC